AGTTCTTCAAGTATTTTTATTGACTAAATCTATTATATCATTTCTATAGCTTGTTATTGCCCTGTCCCATCTTTCCATACGCTTATTTATATTATCCTTATAAACATGTTGTGCCTTCGAAGAGAAAAATGAATCCAATGGTATTTTTACTTGCTCCAATAACGTCCAGCCAATGTGTCATAAAAGCTGCAAAACAGTTGAATAGAATAATTTGTTTCGCTTCAACCGTTTGAGATGTAAAGCAATATTTTATCATTGTGCTGGGATTAAACAATTATAGATACAATAAAATAAGATTATGTGATACCATCCCAATTTATTTCACCAAATGAATTAAGACATTTTTGGAGTTTAAATGTTTTAAACGCTATTATATGCTTTTTAACATTCTCGTTCTGAAAGACACACGTACACGAGTTAAGCGATACCTTCACGATAAGAGATATTACCAAATTTTGAAATGACTCATTCTGTGATGCATAAACTTATATAGTAGTGGTCGTATACTTCCGGAAAAATGGAGCTATGAAATAGTAACGAAAGAAAATATTTTTATATAGAGCTATCAAAAAATACAGTATAGGACGGGCTAACTATTAACTCTCTAGCCTCGAACAACGTGAAATCCACGTTGCGTGAATTTTCTTAAAATTCTATTGTTAATTTGCTTAGAAAATCGGATTGTGAAGCGTATCACACGCAAAACCATATTCGAAAATAAATACGATTTCTCCATTTCCAATTCTTTTTACTATCTCTTTTTCGCGTTCCCTTACAAATATTTTTGTGATAAAGAAGTACAACTTATAAATTTCGTCTGCATTTCTAAAGAGAAAAATCAAAAAATTACTCGCGGTTCGACGGTTAATTTATAAAATTATAGATACTAAAATCATGTATCCGTGGACTTTTTGACCATATTTTTATTATATTTGCTGTTTTGTTTATTTTTCTTGTTAAGATATTTTCCCTGTTTTTATTTAATGATAAATGTTGTGCCTTTGAATATAATAACGTAAAAATTATTTTTTTCTGACTCTGCCTTCAAGAACTAAGGTAAAGGCACCAGTAATTTACATGATATCAGTAGTTGATCATTTCTCAGTAAAACGTGAAAAATAAGGTTTTTAAAAGTAATAATCTTTCCACAAAGACCCGATAGATATGCTACAGCATCTACCGATCCAACTCCGAAACACTTTTACCTGAATTAAATTATTTATCGTAAAAGCTAACGATTTATTTCATTGACGTCGGTTGTATACCTCCAATTTCCAACACGGAAATCGTTGCAAATAAACGATATTAAAATAATCACTTTTAGTGTTTTCAGTTTTATTATAAATGGCCAACTGCGAACTAATATATGCTCAATTATTAGTTCCCGGTTTTAAAGGATGGTAAACTTCTGATGCGAGTATTGAATTTTCAGAAACGTTTATACGATTTGGATATTATAACTATTTCAAAAAGGTTCGCTTTGTTGCTTAATGGAAGAAGTTCAAACCGCATTTTCACACATAGAGTTTCTCTATTTAATAAAAGAGCAAACGTTTACTATCATTTACGCAGAAAATTTGTCTTAACTGGCCAACTACTGGTGCTTTTACCTTATATTACGTTAATTAGTTTTTAGTACAGTGTACGGAGCACTTTTTGATTGGCCGTATATAAGGTAGATTGGCGGTTCTTACAGTGACCACACGAATAACGTTTGCCTCTCGGAGCTGGATTTCAGTGATACGCTCGAATTTCCGCTTCACTATCGTGAATTATCCTCCTTGAGCAGTACTAGTGTTCCCGTATGTAAATGAATGGAAGGATTACCGCGCCATTTACTTTCTTATTCCGTCTCGTCCAAAAGTGTCCCTTAATCTTTTGAATGTACTTTTAAAATAGGTAGTTGCTCAGCAGCGATGCCAGAGATGTACTGCACTCGGCAAAATCACATATTAAAAAGGGAGCTGTAGGATGGACTAAAAAATCGTATAAATCAAGTGATGATAATATTATATTGCTGCACAAGTAATGTCCACCTTCTCGTTTGTATAAACAATCTGTCTCCCTTATCTATAACACTTTCGCTGCCACGGTGGTCCCATGGGACCGGAGCTTCGAAATGACTTGAGAATAATTATAATTCATAAGACAACTGACGTCGAATAAATATATTCAATAATGTAAATAACTAGATAACAGAGTAATGTAAGAATTAAGGTAGCAAGTAATTAATAAGTGTTCCTTTTTATCTTTGCTACAAAAGAAGAAGTGATACGTAAAACGCTGATGTTTTTCGTGGAATTCCACGTGGTAATATTAATTTTAACACTAGATTTACGGGCATTTATTGTACAGTTTATTCTATTGTTCCTGGGAAAGTTGATATTCGTTCATTTAGATTTTGGAAATTGTAGATGTAGAAATAATGTTTATAAAATTCAATCTGCGTCAAATTTACGCGTTCCGTAAACCTAGTGTTAATAAAAATTTTCTACGAATTTTTAATATAAACATCGATATTAGAGCCTATGAGACATTGGTATAAGATATTCTCCTTAATTTTTTAATTTGAAATTTAGAATTCAGGTGTTTTAGAACATCTCCACGATAAAGCAAAACTACAACTAAAGTAGGAGCTTATTCCACTAATAGCAGACAGACAGTACTGAAATAAAACATACGAGATGACTAAAACAAGAAACAGTAGACACAGAAAAATACAGAATTGGATCGACTGAATATCAGAAAGAAGTTTCGTGAATGATGGAGAAACTGTCCAGTGCCAAATATGTGCCAACAAAATTGTGTCAAAATTAGATGCAGTTTCAGCAAGAAATTTTCAAACAATTTTAAACATTGCGAGGTTCGGTAATTGAAGAACTGAATGAGATTAAAGCATGCTTCTGGGGAAAATTTCAAAATGACCCGATCACACCTTGCGATGAATGTTCGGTCTGAGCGTGTAAGTTTACCTTAAGCGATAAACGTCATCAATTAACAATTGGCAATCTCAAGAAAATACTCGTAACTTATTGTAATTAAAATTATAACTGTTAATTGCTATGTTTGAATAATAAAATTATTATAGCATACTTCCAGTATATGTAGCATACATTTGTATATTCTAGTTTATGTTGACATGCTATTAATGCGTATTCAACATATGAGCCTGTCAGAAGCCAATGCGGTTAAGTCCACTTTCTAATATTTTCTGACGTTTGTAAATTTTAATGGAATAAATAATATTCTTTTTACTTATTAATTTTCTTAGTCAAAAAGCCCTTCTTTTATAGCTTCTGAATATGTTGTATAATAATTTCAAAAGCCATTACATTAATTTTCTCAATTTTTTATACCTAACCGCATTGGCTCCTGAGCGACTCATATGTTGAGATACTTAACCCTTTGCACTCGAGAGGTGACTCTCAGTCACCACTTGATTTGATACAGTAAAGTTATAAAATTGAATATTTAGTATTTTAAATGAAACTTTGTATTGCTATAGGAAATATTTAAATAAAATTACTTTGTCGCTTAATTTATCTGTGAATGATCGTTAAATTAGTTTCAAACAGTGTCGTCTGTACCTCGTCGAAAAATGTTAAATATTTCCAGTGAAAAACTTTCGAGTGCAAAGAGTTAATACTGTGTCAACTAATTAATACGCATTAATTGCATATTCGACATATGTTATTTGCATATTTTGACATATTTTAGTAACATAAACATCCGCAGTCTAGTAATTAGTGATGGCCACTAAGCAATGAAAAAAAAGTGACAAGGTAGGGGGTAACTAATTTTGCTCGCTTGGATCAATGCCCGATTTCGTGCTCGCAGAGTCCTTAGACCGTATATAGGTATATATACATAGGTATATATCTACCTACTCAGCGTTGTTCAAGAGAAAAGCCGCGGGACGGCGGGCGCAGAGGCAAGAGAGGTCTTTCACTATGTGTTTTGTTCATAGTTTTGATTGGTTGCGTGCAACCGCATTGACGGATAACAAATTAGTATCGAAATTGAGATCGGAAAAGATGAAAGTGACTTTCAGGGCTCTCCTCTTGAACAACGTTGAGTAGGTACTTGCAGACTCAGTCTATGTCAGTATGTATTATATGGATGCACGAGTTGAAGTGAAGTCAAGATAACAGAAGAATGATTTCACATGCCTTATTACCTCTTAACTTTTTTTATCTAATATAAATGTCATTGTGACTGTTTTTGGTACCACGAAATAATAAAACGCCTTTTGGTCGTGGAAAAATTGCAATATTAATAGAAGTTACTTCAAGAATACACTATTTTGTGTATTTTACATATTTCTTAGGTTGAAGCTGTACCTGTGTTAATCAAATAAAATACATTCTGTCATGATGATTGGATTTTGCACGTAAAAGGAAATTTTCAGAATCAATGTGTAACCATTGAATCACTTTTCCCTACTTTTTGTTTTGTGGAATAAATCGATTTGACCAATGAATGGCTCATGTACAGGTATTTCATAGCTATTAACCCTTTGCCTTACAATAACGTGAGAGAGTCGTGGTGAACATTTTAAATAGAATTTAACAAATATAAATATTACTCAATTCTTGCGAATTTAGATGATATATTATTCTTCTGTTATCAATTATTATATTATAAGACAAACGTAGACATAGAATATACATAGAATTGTTTTCTTTATTCAATAAATTATTACTGACAAAGTTGCTGCATCGATCAGAGTTGAAAAATAAATCATAAAGCAAGGGGTTAAAGTTCGAAGAAACAAAACTGTACGATTAAGACTGAGCTGTGTTCCAGCCGAAGCTCTTAAGATTGCATACTCCTGACAGCTTTTTTAAATTAAAGGATATTAACTTTAAATGAACATGTGATGAAATCACGTCTTAATGATTTGTGTATCCCGCGAAGGGGTTAAGCACGTGAATGTTTGAAATTCATGTTTACTGATTACAATAGAAAAATAGGAAGCTGTTAATATGGTGCAACGTTACCTGAATTTGACAGACGACTTCTCCATAAGGCCAGCATCCATAAATGGCTGGCAGGAAACCGAATGGAGTAACCAACAGTCCAATAGCCAAGTCATTGCTCGCCAGACTCGTCAACAAATATCTCGGCTGCAATAAAGGTGAAGAGAACCTGTTGATCATTTAAATTACATTGATGGTGCGTGGTTCGCTTTCTCAAATACAGTTACAAGATTGGCTCGGACAAAACTTTGTACGAACGGCAATTAGTGGCTGACAGTCACAATGCAACCCCGTGAAGTGAATCACAGTTATCGTTAATTATATTTCACTATTTTTTGTAATATCATTCTGCAAACATCTTAACCAATTAACTGCGTTTGACGAGTATACACGTCACCTTAAACCTTGAAATAATACTAATTCTTTCAACGATGAATTCTTTATTTTTTCACATAAACACGTAATTTTTCTTTGTTTTCTTTTAGTTTTTCATTAAAAAATAACCTAGGTGGATTCGTTCTGCACACACTTCATTTCTTAATTTCATTGCGCGAGAAACCACGATTTTTCAAACTAAATTCCACAGTTAACAGATTAACAAACTGATAACTAGAACTGTGCGAGGACTTGTAAATATAAGGTGGGGATGGAATAAGAATTTGTTGGAAATCAGCACGAATTTCCGAATATATCAGAATTTCTAAAAGAGTCGAGACACTCAAGATGGAATTTTCGAAAAAGTCAGGATTTCAGAAATAGTTGGGATGCCCGAGAATATTCGGGGTACCCGAAAATTACGAGAAATAAGAACAAACCTTTGAAAACGTCTAAAAAAATGTTTAAGCTATTTAAATATGCTAAAGAATCTTCAACATTTTCTGGAATTCCGAGTTTTTTGAGAATCCCGATTCATTCAGGAATTCTGGAATTTTTGGGCGCTCGTCTCGACCCAATCTAATATCTTTTCGAACGATCTCAACCCTCGGCTTCCTGACACTCTCTGTGACGTACTGATTCTGGGACACTTCTACTGATAACACCTTGATGATGAATATGATGTTACATTGACATCACCGATTCAGAATTCAACGCCACAAATTTCACGAACGCGAACTCACTGATATTTATTAGGTGATCTGTTTGTTACTTATTTTCCGACAGATTAGTAATACCATTTCGAAATTCATGTTTAACCTATATCCCCTACTCAACATCGCATTCAGCGTAGCTGGATTTATTATCTCCCGAAAGGCAAAAAAATTACGATGTTTCTGTACGCAGTAAATTATATGTGTTTCGCATATACAGTATAGTATAAAATAAATTGCTAAAATGGCCGTTTAATCATAAATATTATAAATAATAGTTATATAAATACGTATTTATATATGAAAATATATACATTATTTAATACTATCCAAATGGATAATTTTCACTGAATGCAATTATCATACAACAGCGGAATACCATTATGTATGGGTAAATTTGTAGCGGCTAGCTGTACGCCCGAAAGATAAACGTTTGGTGCACAAATGGTCCGAAAAATTTATATTTTACAACGCTGGGTGTACGCATCCGAAAGATTTATGAAAACTGTTTCTTGTCACACACGAAATTAATGCACGGGTGACCCTTCTAGAAAATAATACAACGTAGCAGGCATCTGCGAAGAAAGCAAAATATTTCACAAAAAAAAGTAACAATAATTAACTACCTTTACTAGCAGAGTATTATGAAAAGATGTTGCCTGAATTGTGGAGTTAGTCAACACTAGAACTACCGAGCAATTAATATGATTCATATGTAATCCCTACGAAAATTGTAACAACAGATTATAATCTGTATAGATAGATAATTATTTAATACTGAAACAACCGCACTTGTCAAAATTACGAGTTTCAATTTTCTTATTTCGCAACTATTAATATCTTACAAAATTACATCTCCAAAATAACTCGAAAAACAAATAGTTTTACTTGAATATTGTAATCAATATATAGAAAAATCGAAAGATATCTATTGTTACAATCCTTATAAGAATTACATCTTAATCATGTTAAACGCTGTGATATAACGACCCAGGTATTGAAAAAAACAACCGAAATATAGTAACAACATGAATAATGATTAAATCGAAATTGTTGTTTAAATAATTATCTAAATCGAATTTTATTTCCACAATGCCAATTGCTGTCTGGATGCTTTAAGGATACATCAAATATTTCCACAAACCAAGCAAGCTATATTTGCAATTCAAATAATCACAGTTTTCAAAGGTTAGATTTCTTCCACAAAGAACAATTTAATCCTATCAACGTTTACTGTCTAATTGAATTATATCGCGGACCGTAGACTATCATGCACCACCAACTTAATCCTTTTGTTACAGTGAAGTTGGTCATAATTACACAGGGTAGTCGAGCAGTGAATATTTTGCCGTGCAGCTTACATTGTTTTAGTATGCAAATTATTGACCTTTTGTTCAAATTTTCTTCAATTAACTCTCTGACGTTATGAGAATGTAACTTTACACCATTATTTTCGGGTGGCACGCAAAAATTATTTCAACTTTCGTATGTTAATACGTACTAGTTGCTATTGTTAAAATAATTTCTTCCGGTGTACGTGTGATTTAAATATTTAGGAAGTTCTTTATCAAGATATTTCGTAGAAATTTATTACAGTCCCGCAATACTACATTTATTATACATAGAATTATAAAGTCAATTTTTTAAAAGATACTCATGATATGAAAACAGGGGAATTCTTTAAATGATCATTCTTTTTTTTATGTAAATATTGCGACCCTTACGTGTTGTAGCATGAAGTTTCAAGCAATTTGATCGATTGCTGGAACCATATATCAATATATATCAATTGTTCATGGAAAATAATTGACCTGGACATCTTTCTCGTACGACTTTCTCCGTCGTAATTACGATATAATAATACGTAACACACAAAGTAACATCAGTTGCAATGAAAAAATATGAAGGTAATTTTATTTTTAAAAAAGCAACTAATATTATTTTGTATTCCCAGAAAGTAAATTCTTTACATTTTATAATAATGGATGCGTTAATATTATTATCTACGAAATAAACGCGTATAATGTTATAAACGCAGTTTTATGTTGATAGAATTAATAACATTTTACCACGATGTATTCACGTGGTCATATTATAATTTTTAAAATTATATTGTTGGTAATAAACAACATACTGTTCAAAAATGTTTTATGAATAGTAAATAATAATATTATAGTAATATTTCATCGTTTTAAAGAAGAATTTATTTCACTAAATGCAACAAAAGAGAGAAGTTTTGGATTCTGTCACTGTTTTGGAGTTATTGTTAATGCGGTCATTTCGAAGTCTAATGTATAATAATGTAATTACCAAGCGATATAATGTGTTAAAGAGTGTTAAAATATTTTTTCTCATGACCATTCACGTTTATATTACATATAGCTCACTTTTTGTTACAATACTCGTAACGTTAAAAAAGAGGTGCTCCGACACTAAACTTGCGAATTCCTGCAGTAAAAATCTATTTCTCTATTTAAACGTTTAACATAACATTTGCATAACGTTTTACTTTGACCCTAAGCGATACAAGGAAATTAGCAAGAAAGTTGGCATCTATCGTAGTTGTAAGAAGGTACCCCTTCATTTTAGTTTGATTTTTACTTCAACCAATAATACATTAATCTTCATTCGCATGATAAATATCAACATTGCGTATATAAACACATAAAAAGAACATGTTTAAAACCTTTAGTTTGCTTAAGATTGCAAAACAGTTACTCCATATATATTTTTATATTTTCGGAAAGAAGAATAACTTTCAATGCGAGACTGCAAGATTACTATTTCCCAACTTTCAAACTAAAAATGCATTGTATGCCACAGATTCGGATAAAATGATTTCGATTAGATATTTTAGAATTCAGAAGATGGTTTGACAGCCAGCAGTTAGATATTCAAACTACTATCGGAAATGTGGAGGTCATGGACATCAGTCTTTTGGCGTGTGACAAAGCGTATTCCCAAAGGTTAACTTTCAGAAAAACGTTAACGGCTATTAGGAATCGGTAAAGCATTTGACCCGGACTCACCCGACACGGTTATAAGGGTTTTTTCGTCCCTCACATCGCAAGTGGAAATAAATTGCCATTCTCTTTCCTGAAAAACTAGCGAAAGGCGTTAGACAAGATGAAAAATGGGTCTTCCCGATTTTTTTACGCAGAAATTGTAAACCAGAGTTCTCAGCATTACGAAAATGGTTTGAAGAAAGGTTTCAAAAAGTTAAGGGTTGAAAGTATATTCTTTACAATATATCTGAAAATAGGAGGTGCAGAAAAGAAATCTAAATTGTTCATTTCGGGGCAAACAATTTAAAGAAATAATTCCTTTTCGACACACCTTAGTCTGCAATTCCTACAATTGTTCTAATACTTGACTGCGTACGTATTAATTACCAATGATTGTATATTATAATCTACCAATCTGTCATCATAAAAAGAAATCTAAATTGTTCATTTCGGAACGAAGAATTTAAAGAAACAATTTCTTTTCTACACCCCTTGGTTTCAGAGATATTGTCAAAAGTATGCTTTCAACCCTCAACTTTGAGGTTTGTTTTCACTCGTTCAAACGAGATATTGGCCGATAAGAAAAATACGAATATTTTCTTGAGAACTATGCCGCACATAAGTTTCATTAAAATCGGCGTGTGCTGGTTGAAAAGGTTCCTTTGTGAGCTAGAAACGTGAGCGGGCTGAGCCAATGCATCCGAAGTTTCGAGTGAAATCGGGCGGAATTCGAAATAATTCGAGTGTGACAGGCAGGCGCTATTATGATAACTTCGGTTAAATTCGTGCAGACGAAGTCACTCACAGCTGGCTGAGGAATGGAGCAGCACGCCCTATCCCACCTGCTCGTCGCAGAAGTTTACGGGCTATTACTACGACAAAGACGACAACGTTTGAAAGGGAAAAGAGCTCGAGTCTGTCGGGTGACTTGTAAAAGCGAATCCACTGAGGTGAGCAACACCTACTGCTGACACTGCGGCCAGGAAGGACACTAGTGAAGGAACTGTCGACGCCCGGCAAAGCCTTCGAGCTCTTACCGTCTAGGGGCGTACTA